ATTTCATCCTATAATTATTTTAAAAATCAAAATATGCCTTTTCACACCATATCATTATTACCACCTAATTTGAAACATGAGTTTGCTCAGGCTTTTGACAAACTACATGATTTTGCTATGTAAGACATATTACCAATTATTTCCTCAAATAATTTCAATACAAGCTCAAATGAAAATAATGGTCAGATATTCTCCAATGATAGTATAGCAAATGTATTAAATGAGGATCTTACTCACTCAAACGTGGATCCTAATATACAGTAAAATAAAAATAATGTCCCTTTTTTTTAAAAAAAGATGTTTATAATAGTCAAGAAAATGAATGTATAAATAATATCATAAAAGAAACAATTACCTAAGAAATTAAATAAAAGCGGGAGAGCATTAGGATTTACAATATTGGATTCACAAAAAAGTACATTGACTTTATTTATTGTTAATAGTATATTATATAGAAAAGGCATACAAATAAGAAAATCATTAGATAAAAAGTTAAAATTTCAACAAGACCTTAATTCCCAAAACTTTGTTGATCCAAAAATAGTTGATACCAAAGGTAAATTGTTGATAAAGACAAATTTTTAAACTTTTTTAGATTATAAAAAATCTTCTTTACACCTTTTGAAGGATCTTCAAGTGGACTTAGTAGACTTTGTATACTCAGACTCAAAGTTCAAAAATTGTAATTTTATAATTATATACAGTTAATTGTAATTCTTAAATATCATGATTAATTTAATTTTTTTAAATATTTAAAGCCATAGATGACCCACTCGTTAAAATCATTCAACATACATTTAAACATTTTTATAATCCAACTACCAATATTTGGAGGAAATATCATGCTACTAGCTTAAATTTAGCGTCAGCAAAAAAGAAAGTCTCTCAAAATATAGGAAGGGTGCTAACTGCTCCATCACGATTGGAAACAATTGAGCTAGATGGGAATTGTTTTTACCGGTAATTTAAAAATAATTTTGGTTGTATTTTTTTTACTAATATACATAGAATATGGTTTTGTTTCTTTCTTTACCTTAAATTTTAATGATTATATCCTATATTAATTCATAATATTATTTTTTTAAAACATTGATAGGTTTTTAGAAACAGTAACATAATTAAATTTTTTAAAAAATAATTAGATGTATAAGTATGGAGATAACAGGAAAACAAGACTCCTATGGTTTGATTAGATCACATATGGTCTTGCTGATGCTGCAAAAAATAATGATAAAAAATATATTAGATTACTCAAGGTCAAAATACGTGTGAAGATGATGTGCAACAGTATATAATAGAAAAGGCAAGTAAGAATGGTGAATGGGCAACGAATATTGAATTGCGAAGTGTTGCCACACTTCTCAATACCCCGATATTGGTGTATGCTAGGTATGGAGCTTCATTTTGCTGGCAAATGTATCCACCATTTAAATATGATGATGGAAATATAAAAAATTTGACCAAAACATTTATATTAACAATTCTGAATTCCATTTTGTAAATGTTATTGATTTTGAAGATTAATTACAAATGTTGATATTTTATATTTTTTACCAAAAGTATTTTAGTTGATTGTATTTGTCTTGTTTTTATGCATATTTTTTTTTTATTTATCCTAATTTAACATATTATAAATAGATATATAGACTACAAAGATATCTTTTTTAATCATACCATTTTTATATACATTTCATTACAACACCAACACCATATAATCATTCCAATTATTATTTTACTTTAATTAGTTTGTATTGCTAATACAATTTTTACATTCTAAAAATAAATTTGGAGATTTTTTTAAAATCTGAATTAATCCTCTTTTTTTTAAATCATCAACTCAAAAATGACTATATAAAAAATTTAGTATATAACATGAATATCATTTTTTTAAATAAAAAAATTGCCACCAAATAAGTTTTAATAAAGTGTTAACACTGTCGGGGGGGGGGGGGGTATATTATTTTTATTTTTTTTATGGTTTTTTTTAAAAATTTTTATTTTTGCCTAATTTTTTATGGTAAAATATGGGAATTATTAATTGCGCATATTTATGTTATATTTAGGAGAATTTTGCATATAAATTTAATTTTTTTTGTGGTAAAATATTTAAGTTATTTTTTGGAGAATTTTTCCTATAAATTTAATTTTTTTGTGGTAAAATATAGGAATTATTAATTCCGCATATTTTAGGTGAATTTTACCTACAAATTTAATTTTTTTTGTGGTAAAATATTTAAGTTATTTTTAGAAGATTTTGCATACAAATTTAATTTTTTTTGTGGTAAAATATTTAAGTTATTTTTAGAAGAATTTTGCCTACAAATTTAATTTTTTATTTAAATCTAATTTTTATTAATTTTGCATTAGGGATAAAATAGACCCCACCTTTGAAGTTTAAGTGATTTTTAACATTTCTAGTGAAGGGTTAAATAGAAATATAGTATTAAATGACGCAATTAAATATAGTATTATAATTTATACACGAAATATAGTATTAAATAAATTTTATTCATTAAATTGAAATATATTATTGAAGTTAATACAATCATTTATAAAATGATTAAAAATGTCCAATCATAAATTTTTAAAATTAAATTAATTTAGTAAATTAATTAAGAAAATTATGGGAGCTCATTAAGCGAAATTTATTTTTTAAACTCTATTTAAAAAAATAATATCAAAAGATATAATTTATAAATTTCAACAAATTCAATAAAAAAATTTATATAAAAAATGAGTAATTGTTTGTAAATTTGAAGCTTGCTAGGGATTGTTGTGTGTCAATTTTATAGAATAAGTCATCACAAGGTAAGATCTTTAATGTTTCCAAGTAGCCTTTAAAATAAAACATACATTATAATTTATAAATTTCAACATAAATTCAATAAAAAAAATTATATAAAAAATGAGCAATTGTTTGTAGATTTGAAGCTTGTTAGGGATTGTTGTGTGTCAATTTTATAGAATAAGTCATCACAAGGTAAGAACTTTAATGTTCCCAGGTAACCTTTAAAATAAGACATACAATATAATTTATAAATTTCAACATAAATTCAATAAAAAAATTTATATAAAAAATGAGTAATTGTTTGTAAATTTGAAGCACAAGGTAAGATTTATTCTTTACTCAATCATTCTAAATTTCCTAATTCATAGCCATCTTAAGATTTATGTAATTTAAATTTTTATATTGCTTTATAGTTTACTAAATATTGGGAAATAAGTAAGGTATTACTATGGTAGTAATTTTTGGTGACATTCTAAAATCTGATATATAAAGATTTATGTATTTTAAATTTTTATATTGCTTTATAGTTTACTAAATATTGGGAAATAAGTAAGGTATTACTATGTTAGTACTTTTTGGTGACATTCTAAAATCTGATATATAAAGATTTATGTATTTTAAAAAGGTATTATTATGATAGTACTTTTTGGTGACATTCTAAAATCTGATATATAAAGATTTATGTATTTTAAAAAGGTATTACTATGGTAGTACTTTTTGGTAACATTCTAAAATCTGATATATAAAGATTTATGTATTTTAAATTTTTATATTGCTTTATAGTTTACTATATATTGGGAAATAAGTAAGGTATTACTATGGTAGTACTTTTTGGTGACATTCTAAAATCTGATATATAAAGATTTATGTATTTTAAATTTTTATATTGCTTTATAGTTTACTAAATATTGGGAAATAAGTAAGGTATTACTATGATGGTAGTACTTTTTGGTGACATTCTAAAATCTGATATATAAAGATTTATGTATTTTAAATTTTTATATTGCTTTATAGTTTACTAAATTTCGTCCACGATATTATTTATATATCCATTTTATTATAAATACAAATTCTAAATGATTCGTTAAATTTTCGTAACTTTTTTATCGATTCGGAAAATGCGTATAAATAAGAAAAAATATAACTTTCATTTCTTACTAATACGCCATTTGGCGTAAGTCTATCATCTCCCTCAATTTTAAGGTGGGTTATCCATTAAATTTTTAGATGAAATAGGGCAAAATATATCTATGTAAAAAATTATTTAATACTTTTATTATAGACCTATTACAATGATATTGCTAAACATCGTTGAAATATATATTGCATTCAATCATTCGATATTTTTTAAATAAAACTTATTTGTGGAATATTTTCTGCTATTTTTTAAAATTTTTAAAAAATATTTGGACATTTTTTATCAGAAAATTCATATTCTTACCAAACAATAGTTTATATTAATGGTTGTAAATAAAAGGCTTTTATTAATTACTGATCTAAAAAATAACTCTTTTACATTTATATTTTTTGATATTTGGGAGTAGAGTATTGATAATTTAAGTTTATCTTTTATAATATATGAAGGAAGTATAATTAAAAACGTGTAGCTAATAATATGGGAATTTTTTTCAGGTGGTTAGACACAGGTTTTTGAGGAGGGTTCTTTCTCGTGAATATCTTATCTTGCCCTATAGACGCTGTGAGCTATCACTTCAATTTTGTTCACATCAAATGCATTAATTGACGGTCTACGTCTATAGTATTAATGTCATTAATCATTTATCAAAATTATTTTTGTTTGCATGAATAATATAATCAAATAGTTTTTTGATTAATAATAATCTAGTTATATATTTCGATGTAAAATGATATATCAAGCTTTTTAAAATTACGATAAGGAAATTTGTTTTATAAAAAAGTAAAATGCAGGTTGTTAGAATTTTTGACGAAAATTTGTCAAAACATTTTTGGCATTATAAAATGAATTTATAAATTATTTAAACTACAGTAAACCTCAGAGAGATTAGTAATACAATAACTGAATAGAAATTTTTTAAGAGTAAAAAAGTATATAAATTGTTATGTGATATTTTTATGGGATATTTAACTATTTAATTTACTATTTGATAATGTTTCTAAACTTTTTATCATTGATATAAAAATATTTTGTACTTTTTTAGCGGAATCAAAAGCCACATATTTTCGTCTGCTACAATGCTAAAGTAAAATAACGTGAAGAAATGCAAGACCCACTAAATGCAAGGAAATGAAAATGTTGATTATTCAAGCGAGAGCGAAAATGAGATTAATATAGATGTTCTTGCTAAATCCAGAAAATGCACATTAAAAGTAATTAATATTTGTTATAATTTTGGAATTACAAAATTTTTATATTATTTACATATAACATTTTTCAAATTTGAATAATCATAAGCATATAATTTTTTATAAATCGATATTTATCTAAATATATTTGAATTAATCATAGCACATAGCCCAATAATTTAATTAATTTGAATATTCATAAAATATGTAGCATATTAAATTATATTTATAAATATAAACAATTTTAATTGATTAAATAAATTTTTATTTGCGAGCTTGAAACAAAATTTATATGGACTTGCATAATTGAAATAACATATTAATCTTGATAAATGTAATTCTTATTAGCATCAAAATAACTCATCAATATTATCACAATATAAAAATAAACATAGATATAGCCAAAATTTTCCCAGAGAGGTTTTATATAGCTTCTGATAAATTTTATTGGAGTGCTTTTTAGTCCAATTACATTTTATATTTAATTTTTATACCAATATCTTATATATAAACTTACAAATTAAGAAGGAGAATTTATGCCCCCCCCCCATGCTTATTAACTTAAATAAATTATTGTTTATAAATTTTGGATGCACAAAACATTACAATTTCCATAAATACACTCTTAGCTTAATGGTTTTCTTAAATGGCAGTGTTGTTAAATGCTATTTTTAAAAGTCTTGACACTGCTAACAAAAAAACTAAAGTGATCTGCATTGGACCTAATTTCTCAAGCAAACCTAAAATTATTTTTTAAAATTTGTCCTGCTTGGCCCGATCTTGAACAAATTTTTTTTATTAGTCCTGAAAAGCCCACTCCGAAATAAAAAAAATATTGTCCATTCGGCCCAATTTATTTAAATAGAAAAATTAATATTATATTCTACAAATAAAAAATATTAGCCCCTTATTTCTTGCAAGAATTTTAACATATATCAATTTATTTGACAAAATATAATGATATCATATTAAAAAATTTAAACCTGATCCAGCCTGGCTCAAAACTTTTGAAAAATAATAAGGCAGGACCAAAATTTAAAAAAATAGAGGGCTTCAATTGGGTACAGGCTGGGCCGTAATTTGCAGATCTCTAATCGTTACCACTATATTTTCAAAAAAGGAGCATACTATTAGCTATAAAAGTAGCTAAAACTACTTTTTAGTTAGAATACTTTAGAATTTTTTTAAAAATATTTTTTACTAAAAATATGACTTTAATTTCAAATATATATAATTTATTTATTTTTTATTGCATTTCAATAATAACATTTTTATACTGTCATCCCCAAGTCTAGAGCGACGATCAAAAAGTATAAATTTTGATGTGCTAAATAATAAATAATTGTTCAACATTAGCACTTGAGTTGTATAAAATTGACTAAATTAGTAGCAAACTACCGCTATCGCTATTTTTTTTAAAAATGTTATACGCTAAAGCTACCGTTACTGAAAATAGTACGCTACTTAAACAACACTGATAAATAGAGTAAAAACAAAACAAGGTTAAACCGGAGTTTAAAATGATTGCTCAGAACCTTTTTTCCTTTTGAAAATTAATAAAATATATTTAGGGATTAAGAATTTCTCGAAGATTCAGGATACTATAAAATCGATTAGCCCTTAATAGATGTGCTAAATTTTGTAAATATATTATTTTTTTCTATAAGAATTTGATAGAATTTTTAAAGACGATTTTTAAAAAATTAAGGTGCTCAAGTTTTTGTAATTCATCTAAATCATAAATATTAGGTATAAAGTGATTTGATAACAATAATTTTCGTTGTTGTCTTCCGCTTATAAGCATTTCGTATTTTAAGAAGTAAAACATATCATTATCAGTTAATATAAGATTTAGCTTTGATAATCACTCACATATTATTATTTTTTTCAAACTCATTCATGGTGCCCTTTTTAAAATTCTAATTAGATTGAAAAAAGACATTATATAGAAGATGGACAGACACTATAAGATCAAAAAATGCTAAATGTACTAGTGTGATGTGTGATTAATTTTTTAATGTATTTATTTATTAAATTTTAATCTCGTTATAATACCATTTTTAAAGCAGCAAACAGCTTCATAAAAATATAAAATTTATCGTTTTTTTCCATAAAAATTTCATCTTTTTCTATTTTATAATATATATAATTAAGCCTGTATATTTACAAAATTTATTAAGAAACTAATAAAATATATTAATATGTTTTCAATTATAAATGCTTCTTTATTTAAAAAAAAACCTCATCAAAGCATTGATTCATCTTCATTTATAATATTTTACCAATCGTTTAGGTTTTTCTCACAGATAAACTTCTAAGAAAAAAATAAATATATGTGCAATGTTAATATTTTTTTTTCCAAATTAGATAAACAAGGTTATATTGTATTATTGATTAATAACACATAATATATCATTTGGAAGGTGGAGGGGATTTGACTTCCTATTTTTATTATACCGAAAGTAACAATTAGCTAGCGCTTAAATTGTGACTATTTCCCTCCTTCCCCTTCCCCTTCCTTATAAATTATGGTAATTTTAGTTTTTATTTCCATTAATTATTTATAATAACTTTGCAATTTGTCTCTAGGTTTATGGACCCTACTATTTAATTAATTATTTTTTTATACTTATGCGAACTCATTTCATTTCATTTCACTTTCTTTATTATATTATTAATAAGATGTTATATTATGCTTAGGAGATAATTATATAATTTTTTTAAATCAAGCCAGGTGAATCTCTATCTCATCAACATCAACATCAAAATAAAAAAAAATACTGTTTATTTTTCAAAAAAATCATTAATAATTATTTAACTCATTATAATAAATGCTTTCCATTTTTTTTTATTAGCAGATGATAATAAATTTTATTATCTTCACTATATAAAACTATTGAGATTTGGGGGAAAAAATGCTATTTGGCTTATCTTAAATACCGCGAATAACCATATGGTTTATCATATTAGATTAGGAGACACATAAAAAATTTGCAATATTTTTTAATAATGATGTGGTAACTCGTAGGTAAAGTTCAGAACTATTAATACCAACAAGAATGCGTTCGATTCTAATTTTCGAATATAATAATTTTGTTATTCATAGAGTACAGATCAAATCGAAAAATGAATAATTCGTTTTAGATATATTCTGAGCTGAGCGGTAGAAGTATCCGATTCGCTCCCAAATTATGAAATACATCAACTTTTTAATATATTCAATTTGCGTTTTGACAAAAAAATTAGACCTAACCTTCTCTTAGCATTTTCCTGACGCCACATAAACACATATAATAGGATAGTATTAAAAAAAATATTATAATATAAATGGCTCGATTTTTAAAATGGCTAGCCCAATATTTTAGTCAAAATGTATTATCCTGATGATTTTGCTCATAGATGTCAGAAATGTTTGGACATCTATTAACGATATCTTGTGACTTACATAATATTTTTTAACGAAAATATACGAGCCGTTTAACAACAATAATCCACATGGTTACGTTCATTGATAGCTTTTGGTAGATAGAAGAAATAAAAGGTAGAAAGACAGAAAAGCAAAGAAAAAAGAATGAGAGGAAACGGGTAAAAAAGGTCTTTCTAAGATGGGGCATCTTTTGACCGAATCCTCCATTTTATTTAAAATTCTTATATCACTAATTTATATTCGGTCGATATTATATTCGATAATTATATATTATTATAATATTTAATTCCTTATTCAACAAAAAAGAACTAAATATATATTTTCATATTTTTTTTTGTTTACAAAGAAAAATTAACTTCCTCAATCAGACTAACTAACAAATAATTACCCAATCTTATGCCCATAATTATAATAAATGGTTTGGGGGGGGGGTGAGGAATTAAGGAAAATTAATGATTACAAAAATATCGAAAAAAATTTTATTAAGATGATTTTATTTAAAAAAAAATATAATTCTATTTCCTCACGTTACTTACACTTCAAAGAGTTTTATTAAATAATATATACAAGGATAGAAATACAATAAAAAATAATATAGTAAATATAAATTTAGGGTTATAAAATCAATTTATTTTTAAAATATTGATTTTATTTTTCTTAAAAAAAGGTTTTCGGTCAAAGGCTAATTATTATATTAACAACTATTAGACTTAAGTGAGAGGATATCGTTTGATTTTAACCAATGGATTCGCTCGTGCAGCTCGCTCAATTTTTTAAAAAATATTTTTTTAGCTTATAAATATTTTATTCTTAAGAACGGCAATATCATAAAATTTTTGGGTAATGATTATATAGCATTGGACGTTATTGGTTGTTTATCATAAAATATTTGATAACGTCTTAAATGAATCTTCCTTATATAAAAAAACGCCAATTGTTTTAAAGTAGTGGCAGGTGTGGCCCAAAGGACCTTGAAATGTTTTATAGATATTTGTATTAAGATGTATGACCTGCCTTAAAATGAGCTTTTTTGCAAGAGTTCGAAAGTTTGGATAGAAATTTTCTAAATACTAGAAATAGAGATTTGCAAAGCCCGCCCCTCTACGGCTCGTTAAAAATTTTTGCACATATTGTCTGCTCGGGCTGCAAATTTTTTGTCAGGTTCGGTCTCTTATAACCTTTTAAAAAATTTGCCCGGCCCGACCCGTTATAATTTTTAAAAAATATTTAAAAAAATGTTAGCCCAACCCGCCCCGTTAAAGTTATAAGTAAAGTCCGCCTGACCCCCAAAATTTTGTATGTACGGTTCCCAATATCATTTGTGGAGTCTATATCTCTCCTCTATGGCTATCTATTTCTTCGAATTGGTAATTTTTTGTGAATTTAATATATTATTTATAGATTTGTATTTTAGTTAAACATCTTACAACACAATGAAATAAGCATATTGTAAATTATTTTTAAATAGTTATAATAAAAATTAAAACATTAAGTTTGAAATTTAAAAAATATCTATTAAAATTTTAATGTAGAGGCTGGCCTATTTAAATTTTACGAAAAATCAAAGATTTGCTAGGCTGGGAGGAAAATTTTTAAG